ACCACCAAGTTTCAACGCTTGAGGCCAGGGAGGGATTTGGCCTTGGCTCTTCCAAATTGGGGGTCAGGGAGGCCTGGACACCCGCACCCTTCCCGTGGGATCGAAATTTCCCTTTGAGATGATGCCAAACTCCCCAAGCGACCGGGGGCGGCTGCAAAGGCCTGATTCTGTAATGTGTCCCTTCAAAGGGCTAAAGGCTCAGAAACAAAGCCCTAATCATGAAACTATGCATACTGATGACATTAGAGCCCCAGGGTCTAGGAAATCTTGATGACCAGGAAATTAATTACACGGTTCAAGCTTCTGCTGCAAAGAACTGAAGTGGCACACAAAGAAATGCCCAGAAAAAAAATCTGCCACCGAGTCAGCTTAGCGTTTGGGCCCTGGAAACCAACACAGGAAATCTGGCTTTACTTTCAAACTAGGAGGGCTCTCAGCTGGCTGAGGGGGAGCACACCTGCAATCCCAGCACTTTGGGAGGCAGAGGCGGGAAGACTGCAAATTTTAGCTGAGCCTGGATAACTTAGTGAGAAAGAAAGGATGAAAGGAAAAAAGAACGCGCAAATCCGCGCCCTCCGAAGAAGGAGCAGCGCCAGCGGGCAGACCCACGCTGCCTCACATCCTTCTGAGACCAAGACCACCCTCGAGGCCCGCAGGTGGTTGTGTGTTAGAGGATGAGGAGCCCAAATTCTGTCTGAGGAAAATCAAGGCCAGAGACAGCAAATGAGTCCTCCTCCCTCCTGGCTTTACTTAGCTCATGTAATAAATGTGTTTATTGTTCTATGGTCAAAAAAAATTAAAAATTATTTTTAAATGGTTGGAGAGGTAGCCTGGTGTGAAGGCCCTGTGTTCAATACTAGTCTGCCCACCCCAGCCCTCCAGACTGATGGGGGAGGAGGGGCGCAGTGCGGGAGGGCTTGCCAGGGGTGCACAGACCCTGGGCTCAGTTTCAACCATGAAGATAGACAGAGAGGTGACAGACAGACAGATAGATGACAGATAGACAATAGATAATGATAGGTAGATAGATGGATGATAGATGATAAATAGATGATAGACAGATAGATAGGTAGATAGGATTATAAGAATGTTTGCTGTGGAACATGGTGGCGCACACCTGTAATCCCAGCACTCAGGAGGCTGAGGCAAGAGGATTGCTGAGAGTTTGAGACCAGCCTGGACTACAGTGAGTTTAAGGCCAACCTGAACTGCATAGTGAAACCCTGCCTCAAAAGAAGACCAAAAAGTGGTGGCGCATGCCTGTAATCCTGTAATCCCAGCGCTTGGGAGGCTGAGGCAGGAGGATCGTTGTGAGTTTGAGAACAGCCTGGGCTACAAAGTGAGCTCAAGGCCAGACCCTGGCATAGTGAAACCTGTCTCAAAAAGACAATAAATAAATAAATAAATAAATAAACTAGTATTTGCCACATTTACTTAAGCACTAAGCTCCTTAAAAAAAAAAAAAAAAAATGGTTGTAGATATAAAAGCTTGCAAGATGATGATCTCTTCTGCTTCTCAGAGGGGACTCGGGGAACTCCAGTCCACCTGTGGTGGAAGGTTGAAGAAACCTGACTGGAGGGGCAGAGGCACTGGCCTGAGTGGGGAGAACTTCAGATGGGCTAGTCTTTGTCAGACTTTTCTAAAGGACACAGGTCCCAAATACCTGAGGATTTGCGTACCCCCTGCTCTAATATACAGGGCCCTCTAACGGGCTGTGTGTGTGTGTGTGTGTGTGCACATGCGCGTGTGCGTTCACACACACACAGGTCCTGGGAGGGGGTATTAAACCCAGGACCTTTGCGCTGAGCTGCACCCCCCCCAGCCTGCTTTTGAGCACTGCAAACAACAAAGAAAGCCAGGTGTTGAAGGGTACTGAAGGGAAGGGGCAGAGCAGAAAGGAGACCTGCGAGCAGCCCTCGGTCCCCAGGGACACATCCCAAGCCCCTGGCCAGCCGGGGCCCCGGGCCCACAGTCACCTTGCAGACACCCTGGAGGTGGTGGAGCAGTTAGGCAAAGGAGGGCATCACTGACAATAACAGAGAGAACCGTTACACAACGTACTGTGATAAAAGTCGTGTGAAGGTGATCTCTTCTCTCTCAAAGTATCTCCATTTACTTTCACCTTTTCACTTAAATGCAGCACTCCAGGCTTCAGAGGCTGAGGCAGGAGGACCCCCAAAAGTTGGAGGCCAGCCTGGGCTACATACAGGGCAGCCTGAACTAACAGGGTAATCATTAAGTAAAATCGAGGTTACTTGAACACAGGAGTGTGATACTGTTGACCAGCAAGCCCATCTGATCATAGGGACACAGCAAGGTGAGGCCCACAGCCTGGACCTCAGAACAAAGCAGAGGTCACTTGGCGTGGGAGTCCATCCCGCTGCTCAAACAGCGCAATTTAAAATTTATGAATTGTGCATTTCTGGAATTTCCACTTAATATTTTCAGACATCAGTCTGGCTTCCAGCAATGAAACTTAAAGAAGCAGAGCCTTGGGGAGGGGTACTGTAACGGTAATCCTGCTCCCCAACACTCGTGAGAGCACAAACACGCCCAGGCTCTTACCCTCCTCTCCTGGTGAGGGAAGGTGCTGCGGTTTCACCTGTTGGAATCACCAAAGCAGCAGGTATTGTTGGTACAGCGGGGAGGTGCGGGGGAGAACTTCACAATGAGCCCCAGCCCCAGAACCTGTTCCGAGGCCAGGCCTCCCACAGTGCTGGGGTTAGTCAGGCACCACCACACTTAGCTAAAACAACAAGCCCCACCATCCTCCATCAGATCAGCGAAGTTTAAAAAGAGTTCCAGGCAGTGGTGCACTGTAACCTCAGGAACTTGGGAGACTGAGGCAGGAGGGTCACAAATCTGAGGCCGGCCTAGGCAACTTAGCAAGACCTCATCTGAAAAGAAAACTTTACAAAGGGGAATAGCTGGGCGGTAGAGGCCTTGCCTGGCAGATTTAATTCTCAGTACCAAAACACTTTTTTTCCAAAACGTTAGTGGCACTGAGTGTGGACAAACATTTCAGGGTCAGGTGTCCGTGTACTGTTTCGGCAGCCGCACAATGTGGCGCAAGTTACCCACAGGCAGACGAGTAACCAACCCTAAGCTCTCTCCACAGTGGGAGACTCGGCCCAAGGCCTGGTCCCCGCCTGAGGGGTGCTCTGTCTCAGAGCTGAACCCCAGCGAAGAAGAAGAAAACATGAGAATCACCTTTCTTAGAAGAGAAAGGCGGCTGCGGCTGCTCTTCTCCCATTCCACCCCTCAAACAAACAAAACTCACAGCTCAGACACAAGCAGTAAAAAAGGCAATGTATTGTTTATAAACCACGCATACAATAAAATAGTTTTTAAAAGTCACAAATACAGCAGGTACACGGTCACTTTGGAGTCCAGTCCCCCTTACGCACATCGCAAGCCTAGTCCATCTCCCAAACAAATTCGGCTCTAGCCCTGCAAAAGCTCAGTAATTTCCTATTTGATAACAAGTGAACAAAACTTGACAATAAATATGCCAACACTCACTTTTAAAAATACTGAGTGGTAAATGTTCCTCTTAGTTATAAAGCTAAGTCTATATTACTCAGACTGTGGTCAATAAGGTCTTATAACAAAGTTGATTTCCATGTTGAAGATCCACATTGTATTTTCCTGGGATAATGACACATATCAAGGCAAAAAGGGATAATAAAGAAATAGTTGCGGTGCCAGGGATGCAGATCAGCAGCACAGTGCCTGCCTGGCAAGCTTGAGGTCCTGAGTTCGATTCCCAGTACACACACACACACACACACACACACACACACACAGTCACTCACCAAAGAAAAGGAAATAATTGAAAGTCCTAGTACAGCAACAATGAATTTCATTACAAGCAGAACAGTACGAGACATAAAACAGTCTTCTCAGCTTTTTTCTTCCAAAGCCACGGTGCACTTTGTCACATGGAAAAGCTCTGGGGCCGAAGGTTCTCCGCCTTCGTGTGCGGCTCTGTGGACTGAGCTCTCCTCGCCCACCCTGGGAGCCTGCTTTTAGCATGGCCCTCACCGACTGTGATGAAGAATCCAGAGCCACTTGCTGAACCCGCGGGCACCGCTGCCGCAGCTCCCTGCATTGGCCGGGCTTCTGACTCCCCGAGTTCACTTCCCCATCGGAAAGCTGGTCACTTGGACTGAGGCTCTCGCACACACCCCAGATTGAGAACAGTCACTTCCAGCCAGACACCAGTGCAGTGTCTGCATGACAGGTTTCTGTCTCCTCACCACCTAAAAAGTCTGCTTTGCTCAGATCAGTTTCTGCACCACCTGAGTACCAGGTTCTGATGCTGCCTTCCGGATTACCAGGAACCCCCGTCCCACAGTCCTGGGACCCCCACATGGCAGAAAACACCAGCCCCGCCCCAGGAACTGCTATACCCCACTCAGAGCTTCTGCCCGCGGGGCTGGGAAGCTCAGTAGGAGGCTTTAACACTGGTTGAACTGGAGGAGTACGAGCTGGACTTCCGGGAGAACTTCGTGGAGGTGTGGGAGACCTGCATCCGCTTCACAGTGCGGACGCTGCGGCAGAGGACGGCGTTCTTGGCGTGGTCCCTGAAATCCTGTGAGACGAAGTAGTAGATGAAGGGGTCGATGCAGCTGTTGAGGGAGGACAGGCAGAGAGCGGTGATGTACAGGGCGTAGACGTGGCTCTGGCCTCGGCTCTTGATCAGGAAATAGTGCACCACGAGCAGGAGGTTGCTGGGCGTGAAGCAGATGAGGTACATGGCCAGGACGGTGACGATGAGCTTGATGGCCCTGTGCCTCTTCCCGGCCGAGTGCTCGTCCATGGCAGAGGACTGGAGCGCCCGGATCATGAGCACATAGGAGGCCGCCGTGAGGAGCGCTGGGAACAGGAAGACGCCAATGGCCAGGGAGAGGAAGTAACTGAACATGTCCCCCACCAGCACCTCCTCGGGCAGCACATCATGACAGGTGGTGATGTTCAGGGCTGGGATGTAGAGGGTCTGCTTCATGACGTACAGGGGGATGGTGACCAGCAGGATCAGCAGCCAGATGCCCACAGAGATGGCGATGGCAATGTTGGCCGTCTTCCGGGAGTGCGTCATGGGGTTCACGATGACCCAGTAGCGCTGCACGCTGAGGCAGGTCATGAAGAGAATGGAGCAGTACATGTTGCCGTAGAAGAAGCCGGTGAGCAGCTTGCAGAGGGCATCCCCGTAGACCCAGTTGTTGCCATGTATGTGGTAGGCGACTTTCAGGGGGAACCAGACGACGGACAGGAGGTCCGCCAGGGCCAGGTTGGCCATGTAGATCACGGCGGGGTGCTTCTTCTTCGTCCGGAAAAGGAAGACCCAGAGCGCCATGCCATTGCTGGGCAAGCCAACCACAAACACAATTGTGTAGACAGCCGGGAGGAAGACGGTGGTCAGCTTCCCGGTGAGGATGGACGCGGAGATCTCGTCCACTGCAAAGCCTGGGGCCACCGTGGCTCCTTTCTTGGTGACCGGAAGGCCTTTCCCGATGAGACTTCTGCCCTTGGAGGTTCTGTTGACTCCTGCACCTGAAAGGCGGGCAAAAGTGTCATTTATCAAACAGTGTGGAGGTAGGGCTGGTTGGCTCAAATGGAAATATTCAGATGACGGCAGACCCAAAACGCATCAGTCTAGGGATCTTCCTGGGATGGCAGCACCCTGTCATTGGGAGACTATGGGGAACATGTGGGACATGAGTTCTAATACTGGAAAAGACCAGCAGTGTTTTAGTTTATTTTTTACACACTCCCTACACGCATCGATCCTCCGCCGTTTGAGCACAGGCCCAGTGTTTCCGTTACTTTTCTCTCCTTGCTGAGACAAAATACCTGACACCCAGAGTTAAGGAGCGAAAGGTTTACTGAGAGCTCACAGTCTGTGGAGGTTTCAGTCCATACTCAGCTGGCTCTCAGGCAGAGTGGTACCGGCAGCGGGCAACCGTTCATGGTTCATGTTGGTGGAAGATAGCAAAAGGGAGGAGTGGCGGCAAGCAGCCTCTTCCTCTCCCTCACATATGCAAACTACCCGCCCCAGGGTGGGTGTAGCACTCACACCCATGAATCAAAAACTCTAAAAGCCCGCCCTACAACTGCACCTGCCTTTGGTGGGGGGGGCACCCTGACACAAACCATAACACCCAGCAATAGTCAGTCAGCCACACTCAGGTTAGGATTGGGTAGCAACTGCTTCCCAAATTCACTGGGTGTAAGACAGAAGCCCTGCTTGGACTCCCCACTTTATACGGGCCCATCTCAGAACTCACACAAGGAGAGTCCCAGGATCATGACAGACAGTCTCCCACTGTCACACGGATGGTCTGAGACAGGCAGGGACTCTGGGCCCCTATGCTGTGGCAGGGGTGGAGATGACACATCTGTGTCCTGCTCTAGCAGTGTGGCAGAATTCCTTTAGAGTCCCCACTGCTCTGGGAAGAAATGGAACATTCTCAATAACAGCAAAATCCAGGCTGTGGGAAGTGCTACAGGATAAAGTACCTCATTCCAAAATATAATTTACAAGAAAAAAAAGTGAGAAAGAGTAAGGACATGAAATTTACTAGATTAAAGGATTTAGAAGATGTATCAGTTATACGATGTTTGTCTCTTCCTTGGAAATTGATTCAAACAAATAGCATTTAGGAGGCAGAAATGTGAACAGTGGCTGAAATCAAACGTTACAGTACTAAGAAATTACTGCAACTCCACACTATAATTGTACTATGCTATGGGTATGTTTGAAGAAGGAATTCCCCCAGGCGTGCTGGTGCACACCTGTAATTCCAGCACTTGGAAGCAGGAGGGTCACTGTGGGTTCGAGGCCAGCCTGGACTACACAGACCCTGTCTCAAAAAACCAAACAAAAAAGAAATTCCTACTTCTTATGGATATACCCTAAAATATCTTACGATGAAATTTTATCTGGGATTTATTTGTGTCTGGAAAGTTCAGACAGTGACAGTTCCTCGAATGGGTAAAGACAGCCACCGTACGACTCCTGATGAACTGCTAGGTATCTACCCAAGAGAAATAAAACGTGTCCACACAAAAACTTGTACTGAATACTCAGAGCAACATTTATAGCAGTCAAAAATGAAAACAACCCAGATGTCTATTAACAGATGAATAAATAAAATGAGATATATCCATACAATGAAATATTATTTGGCAACAAAAAGAAATGAAGTATTGTAGCTGAGCACGGTGGTAAATCCCTAGTCTCAGCATGCAGGAGGCTGAGGTAGGAGGACCATTTGAACTCAAGAGTTTACAACCTGGGTAACCCAGTGAGTCCCTGTCTCAAGAAAATATAATAAAAATAAAATGAAATGAAGTATTGACACATGCTATAACATTGAAAAAAGTAGGCTAAGTAAAAGAAGTAGGTCACAGAGGGCCACACAGTGTATGACTACATTTACATGAAATGTCCAGAATGGCAGATCCACAGCAAGTACATGAGCTACTGCCAAGGGCTGGAGATAGGACGGGTAACAACGAAGGTGTCTTTCTCGGTTGAAATTGGAATGAAAATGGCTGTGGCGATGGAGCAGTATGAATCTGCTAACAGTGAGACTACAATCGCAATTTATGATGAATAAAGCTGTTACCAAATAACATGGAACTGAAAGCATTTCCTCTAAAATCAAGAATGAGAGAAGGGCGGCCAATCTCAGCACTCCTGATCAACACTGCCCTTGAATTTTAACCAGCCTGTTCAGACAGGAGAAAAAAGGGGAGGCACAAATCGGACAGGAAGAAATCAAATCACCCCAATTAGCAAATGATATGATCTTCACACACAGACCCTCAAAACCCCATCAGGAGACTCTTAGCTCTGCTAAGCGAGTTAACCATGTGGCAGGATACAAAATCAACAGAAAAAATCAATAGCTTTCCTGTACACCGAGAATGAAGCTGCTGGGGCTGGGGACTTAGCTCAGCGGCACAGCGCCTGCCTGGCAAGCGCAAGGTCGTGAGTTCGATTCCCAGTACCTGAGAAAAAGCCAAAAAAAAAAAAAAAAAAAAAAAAAAGAAAAAGAAAATAAGAATGAAGCTGTAGGGAAAGATTTTAGGGAAGCAATCCCATTCACAATAGCATAAGAAAAAGAAACATCTAGGAATCAACCTAACCAAAAAGGTGAAGTTAAGCTAAGACTTGAAATGGAAACTGTTGGAAGAAAACACTGGGGAAACACTCTTGAAGCATACACACAGGCAAAGGCCTCCTGAACAGGTCCCAGTAGCCATTAGGGAAATGCAGATCAAAAGTACAGGAGCATCTCACAGCACGGAAAGGCGGTCACCAAGCACACAGGAGAAGTCACCACCAGTTCAAGGCCGGCCTGGGATATGAAAGGAAGGAAGAGAAGGAGAGAAGACAAGAACAGAAAATGCTGGCGAGGAGTTGGGGAGGGAGAGCCTTTCCACGTTGCTGGGGGAAAGGTAAACCCACTGTGGAAATCAGTGTGGAGATTCCTCACAAACTGAAACTAAAGCTACCATCGGATCCAAAAGAACTAAAGGAGGCATGCTATGGTGACGCCTCATACCCATGGCTTTACAGCAGCACAGCTCAAAATAGCTGAACTGTGCAAACAGTGTAGGCACACGTCAGCAGATGAAAGGATGAGAAAAAAGTGGCCCACGCAGGAGCGAGTATCGTTCCGTCGTCAAGAACGGGACCCTGTCTGTGCAGGAAAATGGATGGGCGTGTGGACCCTCGGGTGGAGCAAAGTGAGCCAGTCTCCTTCAGCAAGTTAAATATAATCTGTTGTGTTTCAGTATAGGTGATCTAAAACTAATTAGAATAAATAGGTGAGGTGTGATGCACACATCTGCAATTCCACTGCTCTGGAAGACCGAGGCAGGAGGACTGCAAGTCCAAGCCCAGCTGGGGCAACTTAGCCAGGCCCTGTCTCAAAATTAGAAATAGCTCAGTGTGAAGCCCTGGATTTTATCCCCAGTACTGAAAAACTAAAGCCCTCCTATGAACTGTGTTCTCCAAAACTAGTAAGCACCAAGACGCTGCTCAAAGGTTCGTAGCTCTCCACTCGTTCCAGAGTCCTGCCCTGTCCCGGTCCTGCGCTCTCATAGGCCTGGGGCAGAGAAATGCGCGGTCCCAGCTCCCAGCTCCCAGCTGTGGGCCAGCAGTCGTTTGTGTTTCAGAACTGAGCGGGGGCCCAAATACACAAGGTCAGTCGTATTAACAGACAGTGCCCGGCTACAGGAGCACCTCCACTTTCAGACCCAACTACACTGTTGTTCTGCTGAGGTGGCACCTGGCTACACGGCAGACCCACAGGAAACGGACACCAGGCTCCTGCCTCTCGCCCCAACCTCCCATAGCTCCCTAATGCAGAGAGCATACTGCGCTGTTCCACACACCCTGAAATGGAAAGACAGTCACAATGTACTGTCAACTACAGCAAGAGACTGACAGAACAGTCCCCTCCCACGCATGTGAGATTGCAACACACACTGGTTTGCAAAATCTGAAGGCTACACAGAGATTGGCTCCCTAACTGTGACAGCCGCTGTCTCTGGGAGGTAGAACAGCTGGGAAGGGACACCTCCCTCTTTCCTACTGTCTTACTTGAATGTTTCCGCCCCAGAGGCGTGTAAAATGGTACAATCTTTTCAGAGGATAATTTGAAAAAGATGACACAATTTTAAATGGACTTGTCACCAGGCATGGTGGCACACGCCTGTAATCCCAGCACTCAGGAGACTGAGGCAGGAGGATTGTTGTAAGTTCGAGACCACCCTGGGCTACAAAGTGAGCTCAAGGTCAGCCTGAACTGCATAGCGAGACCATGTCTCAAAAAGACAAAAATAAAATGGACTTGTCTTATGATCTAGCAACTTCTAGGAATTTGTCTCCTACATGCTAGCTAAATTGCAGGAAATTACTCAATGTACAATCTTTATGGTACTATTGATTTTTGGGTTTGCTTTTTGGTTTTTTTTAAAGGTAATGCAAATATTAATCTCAATATCTAACGAAATAGGAATTAAGCTGGGTATGGAGGCACATGCCCTCAGACCCAGCATTCTAGGAAGCTGAAGCAGGAGGATCCCAAGTTCAAGTCCTGTCTGGGCAACTTACCAAGATCCTGTCTCAAAATAAAAAATAAAAAGTGTTGCGGATATAGCTCCGTACATGGGCTCCATATTCAATCTCAGTACCACAAAGAAAGGAGAGGGGACCAATTTAACAACACATTTACAGTTCCTTATAAAAGTATGGATCAGTTTGAACACACTGACCATGAACAGATTGGGTAAAAATAAATAAATTACAGTACAACATGGTCCTTCCATTGCTGTGAAATGTATTATTTACTTGTTTGGTTTGGTTTTTTGAGACAAGGTATCGTTAGGTAGCTCAGGCTGGCCTCCAACTCACATTGATCCTCCTGCCTCAGCCTCCAGAGTGCTGGTAAAATGTATTATCTGTACACAGGGTTTCTAGTTGAGGGTGGGCCCAGTCTCCCCCAGCAAACTAAGTTCCAGTCACATCACTTCACCCATGTGAGCTCTCTTCCTGCCCTTTCTTTCCCACCGCCCCTCACCTCAAAAATTCCTCAGTCCCCTCCCTAGGTACACTGTCAGTGGGTTTTACAACCATTCTTCCATGGTGAACCATCTCCCTCAACACTCGCCCAGCTAATAAAACCATAAAAGAGTCAAACAGACCTCGGGAGACGTCGCCTACCCAGGTTAACTAGTAACTGTGAGGCCAGCAAAGGGGTGTCTTCATGTTCACTGGGGTCTCTCCTTTTACAAAACACTGGAAACATCCCTAACTTGACAATAATGACACTCCCTCCCATAACAGATTTTAGAGATACTAAAATGGGTTTGCTTTTTGGTTGCTGTCTTTTTGAAACAGGGTCTCCCTATGCAGTTCAGGCTGGCCTTGAACTCACTATGTAGCCCAGGCTGGCCTGGAACTCACAACAATCCTCCTGCCTCAGCCTCAAGTGCTGGGATTACAAGCATGTGCCACTATGCTAAGCTGTATGCACTGACATGCTACTGATGGATGGACTTATATATCCTCATACCTGTACAAAAAGATTTTCTATATTTTTTTGACATAGATTTTATGCATGGATATACCAAAGCAAGGGAGAAGATATAAACTGAAAATGTTAGCAGTGTTTATTTTTGACACAGAAGTTTGGGGTGAGTTCAATTTTTTCCTTTTTCTTTTCCCTCTAGAGTGATCACATATCACTTTATAATTAAAACACCAATTGTGAGAACAGAAGTTACAGTCTCCAAAAGAGAAATGGAACAACTTTACCAGGACATCTATGCCTTATACCAAGGTATGGAGAATAAAGCGTCTGACAGAAGCTGATTTAAACACCAAGGGCCTCTGACCAGACCATCACCTCTCTCTGGGCAGGTCCTCTCAACCCATCTGCCTTCTTCTTCTGCTTTAGCACAGGGGTTGAACCCAAGGCCTTCACACTGAGCTACATCCCCAGCCCTTTTTATTTTTTGAGACAGTCTCACTAAATTGCCCAGACTGGGCTCCAGCTTGGGACCCTCCAGCCTCAGCCTCCCAGAGTGCTGGGATCACAGGCATGCACCCCCACGCTAGCCCCTCACCTGCTGTTTAGGAGGCCCCCCAGGTGAGCACACTAGGCTAGAGGGGCGCGAGGGTGTGACTGCTGGGTCCCAGCCTCCAGAACTGGACCAGAAAGGAGAGATTAAACATATTCACAGGAACACTCACCCACGACCGGGAGGGGCACACAGAGTGTATGTGGGGGTTTCCCTGCCTCCATCCCCTCAAGCTGGTGTGGCCCACCTCTAAAATGAGGTTACTCTGAGGTGGAGTCCTTTCCACAATACAGTCTTTGGGGTGAGGCTTTCGGGAAGAAAACCGAACCCAATCTGCCATTCAGCACCGAAAGGGACCCACTGCTACACGGGGAGGAGCAAAGCCCCAGTCCTGATCAGAGCAATCCCGGGTGGAACTAGAGGGAAGCTCCAGGCACCTCAAGTCTGCCGCGATTAAGCCGAGCCCAAGCAGGAAGGTCACCTTGCAAATGAGTATTTAAGGGGGCGGGTAACCAAGGCACAACATTCAATAGGTCTGGTTAACGAGTAACCGGATTTCCCTTTTCCGCTGAAATCAAGCTCAGCCTGTACCGGGGATAGCGCCATCCCCAGCCCCTGCTCCGTAAACGTGAAGGAGGAGCCCAGTAGGCAGAGGCGGCTCCCTCAGAAACGTCTGAATCACAAGGCGGTGAATCACCTGCACCCACTTTTAAGTTTCGCACACCCTGACCTTCGCTCCTGGATTCTAGACGCTCCACACTGTAAAAGACAGAGGCGAGCGGACAGATGTTCACAGCTCAGTGCTTCCCAGCTTTACACAAAAGCCTAGATTCTGATGCTGTTCCAGCTAGACCGGGTGGGGGCAGGTTTTAAGCTCACACCCCAACGCCCTCTTCCTCACTCGAGAGGACCAGAACCACACACGTCCGTCCAGTTTGTGGCTCTTTCACGAGGCCTTTAGGAAGAGGGTGAAAACAGCTGAGGCCTGCGGATCGCGGGAAAGTCACGCCGCCCTAAGGACACCGGGTTGCGTCTCCCTCCCACGGTAGGGGCTCAGCACCCCGGAGGCCAGCAGGGGCTCTGAACACCTGCCCGGACCAACCCGGCCACGGCACCCGGCGACGCCGGCGCAGCACACCCGGGCGACACACCTGCCAGAGTGGCCGCAGAGGGAGGCTGGCGAGGGCACCGGACGCTGCCCAGGCTCGCTCCTGGCCGCTGTTCCCAGGCTGACGGCCTGCGTGCCAGAGACCAGTGGCCACCAGTGTGCGCTTCGGGTGACGCGAAAGAAGGGGCTGAAACCCCGGGGCCACCGGGGAATGTCACCCCTAACCACAGCACCGTAGGAAGCTGAGGCAGGAGAATCTCAACCCGGGTGTCCTTAGGGCGGCGTGACTTTCCCAGGAGCAGCCTGAGCAATTTAGCAAGATCCTGCCTCAAAATAAATTTAAGAACAAATAAAGGGGCTGGGAATGCAGCTCAGTGCGAAGGCCCCGGGTTCAGAAAGGAGGAAGGAAGGGGTAAAAAAAATGTAAGGCAGATCTAAGAAGTTGCGCTTGTAAATTCACGAGACGCCCAAATAGCCAGAAACTCTGGGCCTGACTTTCACCCTCGCTCGGGCCAACCACAAAGCTCCAGGGGCGACGCGCTGGAGCGCGAGGCGCGGTGTCCGGCCACCCGCTCCCAGCCCCGCCCGC